TTAAATGGATACAGAGGCTTCCAGTTCACACTAACACATGAACTAAATCCTCTGAAGTTAGGGCTTGCGAATCGCACGACTGCTGCACGGGGCATCGTGAAATGCATGCTAGCTAAGGCGCCATCCGGCTTTCATTGATAGTTTTCACGGAACGAAAAGGTTTCGCTACGATCCTCCCAATCCACCCACCTATCCTCCTACAAATATCTCAGTGCCGTCTCAGGGCAGTGGGAAGTGGTACAGTCGGGGTCCTGGGGTGTCCCCGGGGGAGGGGGTCCGGGGTGTACACACATACAGTGCTCAGGGCCGTCACAGGGCAGTGGTACAGTCGGGGTCCTGGGGTGTCCCGGGGGGGGGGGGGGGGGTCCGGGGTGTACACACATACAGTGCTAAGGGCCGTCAAGGGGCAGTGGGTAGTGTTACAACCGAGGCGGCCGGGGTGTCCCTGTGGAAAAACGTCAGATTTCCGGCCCACAGGACACGTTTCAGCGCTCTACAGGCGCTCAGGGCAGGCCATTCTGGAAGAAATGCAGTGCGCCCATGATCGTACTGAGCGTATCGTGTGGGACGCCCCTGTGTTTCCCTCCCTCGCCAAAGCAGGTTCCGAGTGCTACTACCGGCTGCAGGATCTTACCGTAAGGTTTCGTCGGTCTGTGGCGCGTAGCCTCCTTCAACAGCTCCTTTGGCTGAGCCTTCTTGGCTTCGACCTGGACAGTGACAGCAAAGAAAAAGAACACAAAAAGAAAAAAAGAAAAAAAGTTACTAGTTAGTTGTAGAACGTCAGTACCGTCGGTCATGTGTCGTGCAATGTTATCGCATGAGCTGGTTGTTTAGTAACTGGTGGTGTTAGTGGCCATTATTACGCAACTTGTAGTTCCTTGGTCCTTTTTATTTTCTATACACTATTACCAGTATTGGCTTCCATGCACCAACAGAAACAGGTCACAGTCTTCGTCAGATTGTGAAATCTGGCAGATTTCAAGGAAATTTCGTCAAATCTCAGCTGAACTCCGGAACCGTGCCAGTACATGCTGCTGGTGTTAGTTTTCGCCTCCACAACTCACCATTCTCCCGTTGATCTCTAGATAGTGCAGCTTGCAAATCTCGTCCACCGTGGATTCGTCCTTGAATACGGCAAATCCAAATCCTGCATCAGAAGGGACAAGCATTCATATCATTGTTACGTAGAGTTTGCTATGTATTCGGTTCAGACATAGCCGAGCTGGTCTCCAGGAGAGTGCGAGAGACACACACATGCATGCATGCACATGCACAGACGCACAAGAGGACAGCTGCATACGCACACACGTACACACAACACCATGCATACACACATACACACACTTGACGCAGGTTGCGACTTTCCATAACCCCAGCGTTGAGCCCTACGTAACTCAGAAAGCAAAAATGGTAATGTGTGATGTTCACACCACATCCTGCAATCCCATTGCGCATTGCCAAATATGGAAGGGATGAATAATGCATGTGAATACGCTGGGATCAGCAATGCACTGTCCAACACCGCACACAATCATGGATCAGCAATGTACGGTTCAACACCCCAGACGGCCATGCCCAGGTTGCTGTGTGAGGTGTTATGTGAGTACGCTGGGATCAGCAATGCACTGTTCAACACCCCACTGGCACACAACCATGGATCAGCCATGCACTGTTCAACACCCTACACAACCATGGATCAGCCATGCACTGTTCAACACCCCAGACGGCCATGGATCAGCAATGCACTGTTCAAAACCCTACACAACCATGGATCAGCAATGGACTGCTCAACACCCCACACAACCATGGATCAGCAATGCACTGTGTTCAACACCCTAGACGGCCATGCCCAGGTGGCTGTGTGCGCGGTGTTTACGGCACAAATTACGTCATTGCGCAATGGGTTTCTTACCAACACAAAGTTACACCAGACTGACAGGGGTACTATGACATGCGCCGCTAAAGAGAATTTGCGGCAGAGGGCTTTGCAAAATATGTAGATACGGAGCATACTGAAGCTCGTTTCGATTGGAATACAGTGTCCGTTGTCACTTGTGTGGGTCTAAACTCAGTAATCTAATTCGGAACGGCACACACCTCGGGGTCGATGAGATTGCTTGTCCACCATTATAACACACTCGTCGGGCTGTGGAAAAGTAGAGGAAGAGAGAGAGAAAAGAAAAAGAGAACAGCAAAACTGGTCAAGGCACACGACAGTGAACGGGATAAGCAATCCAAGGGGGGGGGGGGCAAAACAAGCAGCCAGCACTTAAATAACCCAAGAAAAATAACTCAAGTCAATTTGTGCAATGGAGAGCAGAGGCAAGCGAAGAAATGAGAAATGCTAGTTGGATGGCAAGCTAAAGGTGACGATACAGTTGCATGTGTGTGTGCGTGCGTGTCTGTCTCTGCATGCATCAATATGCCCTGTCACAAGGGCCAGGGACTTGAACAGGTCAGCCTAGGAGCAAAACCCACATCGTCTCACGTTCCATACGGCCCTCCAGGCTTCCTGCACACGACGACCCCCCACCATCATACAGAGACTGGAAAACAGAAGTGTAGCTTTCACTAACCTTGGACCATCTCTCCTCGAAGTAAGTATTTAATTCGGTCTCAGTAGTGGACTGAGCCAGGCCTCCGAGGAAAAGTTTCTTAGTTTTGTTGACCACCTGCAAGGTTCAAAAGATGAATATGCATACACACACACGCACACACACGCACACACACACGCACACACACGCACACGCACACACACACACACACACAACACACACACAAACACACAATGCTTCTATTACAGGCAATTCACGCAAAAAGTAGGTAAGTCCACATTTTCCAGAAACGAAACTTCAGAGATTACATTTTCAAGCAGCCACATCTATTATTTTTGCAGAGTGACAAATAATAATTCCAAAAACAACCTACAGGTCTTTCCTTTCTTTGTTGGTGAGACAGGAATGAGCCTGCCCTACCCATCCGTTCCCATGGTTACTGTAATTTGATATAGACTTTTTCAAGGTGATTTTTTGGGACCACGTACGAGGCATTTTTGAATCGTTGGTGAATAGGCGACGCCCAGTTCCCCTTCAGTTGTTACGGGAATGGACGCATGGAGGTGAAGGAAGCGCTAGAATGGCGGTCAACTTTGTGTCAGATACCAATTTTGTGTCTTGTTTCTCTGGAACAACGATCTTCATACCAGAATATTTTTCCAGTCGGGATACCGGTAGGGTGCCATATGTACCATGCCGAAGTTTGAAAAACTTCTTTGGGATAATGGAGCGCCAAAACTGCTATTCCACCATCTACTCCCATACAACATATATCTCTCTGACATCATAACTCCGGCCTAGTCTGGGTAAGTTACTGACGTCATCATGATGTCACAAATTTAGCGCCAACTTCAATCAGGTATACTCAGCAACGGCTGCTCTGATCAACCTGGGATCCGAGTTCACCATTGGAATCAGTGCATTTTTGCTACAGGTTGTAAAGTTTTCATCTTAGGGTGCACTTCCCCTTTAACCTCACCACCAATGCCACAACTTGATTGCATGCTTCACCTTATGTTTGGCATTGAAGTGACCATTGAAATATCTTTTTTTTTTAATCAGTATTTAATTCCCTACATCGAATGTGTCACATCAGCTGCAAATCTGTTACCACCAACTTTCCATCTGAGTGCAAGGGAATCAGATTAACTTAAAGAGGACTAGATAAGGAAGGTTTGACTACACTGACGTTCAAAAACCTGCCCTGGCATGGGAGGCTATAATTATTATCAGATTGGTGAAGAATGTTGCTCACAAGTGGGACCTGTAACACTCGCCTGGGAAGAGCGTGCATGGCTACAATACAGTGTTGAATCCAGCTGCACCACATGACCTGACAAGGGAAGTGTTTACATTTCCCATGCACGCTACTGGATGGTCTGATTGTGGGGCCTGGCTCAATCTGGCGCACTTGACACAATCCACACTGGCACACTGGCACATACCCCCCCCCAAGGGGTACCAACAGATAGCGAGAGGCCTTTGGGCATACGCACACAACCATGCTGCTTGGCACTTTCCAGCACCCAATTAAAGTCAGTGTTAGAACTCCATCTCCAGAGACTCCATCTACACCAGGGAATGCATTCAATCTACTCTCAATAAGTCGAGCACTCCATCTTGAAGACAAAAATGCACTGGCTTTCATACTGGGACCGCGTGACTCACGTAATACTCTGTACATAATACAAAAGTGTATGGAGTCCAAATAACTGGGAAAGTCCAGGACTTATGGCAGTACAATGTTCTCCTGGCTTTGTTCCAAGTAGAATTCCACAGACCCATGTACAGGCCCCTGTCATGGGACCCATTACATCATGGACTTCACTTCTGTGGACATTCTGGTACAGTCAGACCTCGTATAACCGCACACATCCGTTTTCCAGAAACATATTCGGATAGGCGAGGGAACCGGATAATCAAACACACAAAACTGTATGTGTGCATGGCATATGCTGTAAATTGGTAACCAAGGATTCTCTTCCGGATGGCGAGGGATCCGGATAAAAGAGGACCGGATAAGCGAGGTCTGACTGTACTGCAGTCCCCTGCATGCATTAACACCACCACTACCACTGTCAACTGCACAGATATGACAATGTCCTTGCAGAAAGCATGCGCCAAGAGTGAACTAGATAGAGCAGTTGCCAGTTGACAAACCCCCTTTTATTTACAATGCAGTTGCGTGATGTCCACCACTTTCTGAAAGAAAGATTATGGCTAGCAGATAAGCTAGGACCTAGATTACACCTGCAACGACAGTGACAAAGGTACGCTACATAATACAAACAGTGTACATGTAGAGCACATCAGGTAGCGTCACACTTAGCACTGCTTAAAGGGGAAGTTCACCCTAAAATCAAAATTTCACAGTTTGTAGATTTCGAGGCGCTGAGTTCGGTGGTGAAGGTCCCATCGCCGTGCGATACGCCGTTCTGGAGATATTTGAATTTGAAATTTACCATGACGTCATGCAAAATGACGTCATGCGGCCGGCGCACACCCCCTCCACACCCTGTGACGTCAAAGAGATACAGGTTCCCGGTCTGCTTGCTTTTCAGTGAGCGAGAAAGACTGGCGTTTGTGGAGTTTCTTTCTTGCGACCTGAACAGTTTCAACCACGATGACGGTTTGCTGTGCTGTCGGCTGCTCTAACCAGTCTGGCAAGCCCCCTGGGACCACGGTGCATCGTATTCCGCGGGATAAAGCTCTCCGGGCGGAATGGGTTGCAGCGATTCACCGCGAGAATTTGCCACCTAAGTTTGAGGAGAGCTGTGCAATTTGTTCGGCACATTTTGAGGAGATGCCTTCCAGAGGAACTTGCACGGAGAGATGGGCAAAACGTGCCGCAGAAAGCTGAAAGCAGACGCTGTGCCATCGATTTTCCCGGACAGGCGTCCCCCAGCGAAGCGAAGGATGTCGCAGTATCAGGAGAGGCAGGAGAGAGAAGAGGTGAGTGAATGGTTCTGGTGATTTCGTGCTTTGAGAGCGTGTTGAAATTTTGTCTGTACATCGCGAGTTGGAGGGGGCAGTTTCACCCACTGTGTTGAGTACATCGTATACTTGTAGAGAAAATTATTTACAGATACCGGTACAAAGCTGTTTGCAGTGTGTTGATTGCAAGGTGATAGTATTGAATGAAGACAGAAGATCGTGCAATATATTTTTGTTTTATTTCAATTCAAGTTTTACATGTCGTGAAAAGGCATACAGTGGTCACTAGCTCTGTCCTCTGCTTGGTAAGTTTCAATTCCAAGAAAGTCTTTATTGTGTTGCATTGTCACTGTTATCTGCGTGTATTTTGCGAGTATGATCCTAGCTCAAGCCTATGCTGAGCCGTATGCCGCAGCTTTTCGGTCTCCAGTTGCATGCGCATTGAGTCCAGAGTCTGCTGATGCGTGCACACAGACCCCCGTCAGCACACGGGAAATTTAGAGGTGATGTTATGGTACCCACTGTGTAGATCAAATCCACACGTACATATGCTTGCAACACTGGCAGTTCATTTTCATGACTATTCTTTTGCTATAAACACACACGCGCGCGCGCGCGCGCGCACACACACACACACACGCACACACACCTTTGACGCCAATCGCCGGAGGCAATGATGGCAATGCTACGGCAGAAGCAATAGCAACTTGTGCTGGAATTGCACCATTCAACAGCTTGCGAGGCTGAAGAATTGATCGTCACAATTCAGCCTGGTCTACACCATACAGCTACACACACAAACACACGTGCAAGCACCTGGCTGACTACAAATAGTGACAGCTTATGATTGCTTTGCCGTTTGTCCATTACGCAGGTGTTCCACCGGACTCCTGGGCCAAGTGTTTTCCGAACATCAGCCATATGTATTGTCGGTATGCTGCGTAACGGTGCGAGCTGCTTTGGGGAACAGGGGAGTAGATCTTCCTGCTGTTAGTCTCACATGTCAACGTACATTTCAGTGCAACAGCATACTACGACAACAAATTTTTGAAGAAGTATACAAGCCAATATCCTGGTTATATTTTTGCACCATGGAACAATTTTAATTTTGATGAGAAAATACAGTTCTCCGATGCAAAATCGACGACAGTATTACACTACTACTACTAGTATTAGCACGTACCGGTTTCCAAACTCAGATGGCTTCGATCCGGCCTGCTGATGGATCTTGCCCAAATAGCCACGCAGTACAATGTACAGTGCGTGCTGGTTGCTGCAGCCTTCCTCGAACTGTGAGGTGCAAGTAATGCAGCCAGACTCAGTAACCAATCCGCGGCTGCCGATTCCGGAACATCTTTGCAGCAAATGCAGTCGTTCCGCAATAATTGAACGACGCATTTGCCACATTCACACCAGGACGTATTGCCAACGCGATCGGCAGGTGGCCAGCAGTCCTCTAAGCAAGCAGCAGGGTCAGTGTCGGCAGCAGCCGCTGCAGTTTCGTCAGCATTTACACCAACTTGCTCCGCACTCGCCATCTTCATGATCTCATCCTCGGTGTACTCCGGTTCCTTCGCTGGCGTCCAACTCGCTCTCCTCGGAGTCACTGTCATCTCCTGACAAGGAGGTAGACCTACCCTGAATCGTCTCCGCTCTGAGCCTCATACTGCTTGACTTTCCGCCTTGGACATTCACGACTTCACTTTCTTCTCCGTCCAACTCCAAGTAAAAGTTCCGAGCTCCAGGAGCTCCTCTATCTCTTTGACGTCACAGATTCGTGACGCCATGGCGGCGCCAAAAACCGGGGATCAAAGTGATATTTCAGTTGCGTATATCTCCGGTTATAGTCACCGGATGAAGACGAGACATACACCAATCGACTCAGCTGATTTTTCCCAATAACATATCTGATTTTGATTTTAGGGTGAACTTCCCCTTTAAGGTTAACACCATGACAATAATGAACATTCTTGCCTTTGCCCAGCCAACAGTAACACATGCACACACAGGTGCTATGTTCATACATGCACCACACCCAGCCAGCATCACACCTAGCACAACTACATTCTTGCCTATACAGTGTCGCACCATGGTCCACACAACCAGCCAGGGTCCCATTGCTCAACTCCGACACACAGAAACATGCCTACCCTGAACCAGAAGGGATTCCGCAGATTCCATACGTCCAGCACCAAGCCAAGGCTGAGCAGTCAGGTATTTGCCATGCCAGCGTAATTAGATCACTGCTAGGAGATCTGGAAAAGGGGGCTTCCCAGATCACAGCCACTCACACCACCCAGTGACCCTTCACAGTCAATAAAATCTCAAGATATTTGTTGAGACACTCCAGGACCATCCATTCACTGATCAATGGTGATCATCCGGAGAAGATCACGGTGCATGTGCAGGCTTTCCATTACCAATGCACTGATGCAAAGGGCAAGCATTGTACTTGACCCTCCCCTGGAATGTCAAGTGGATGCTTAGGGCGCTGAAGTGCCAGCACTTCCCTCCACTGACACAAAGCACTAATACTGCCTGTGATGCAGAATGTCGATTTACATACACACATGTTATTTCTACCCATTTACATACACGCATACCATTTCTACCCATTTGCATACACACATAACATTTCTACCCATTCACAAACACATAGATTAAGTTCTATACACACATACATTTCTGCCCACCAAGGAGTCCTAAGCCTAAGGCTAAGGTTATGGAAATGGCTAACTGATCCGGAGAGTGATCACTTCTCAATACAGATAGGCTGCAGATAGGATCCCCAACTAGACACCACTAGCATTCACTGGTATGCATGTGCATTTGGCCTGCAAAAAAATCACGGTTCGCGTGAGACTCGGCTTCTCTATATAGAGGCCGAGTTTTCCGCATCCGTAGGAACGCCACCACCCTTCAAGGATCAAGGCGCAGATGCAGCTCCTAAAGCGGTGGGAGGTGAGTAGATCAGCTCACCAGCATGTGGTCAAAGACCGAAAATCCTATTCACTGCATCCATGTTTTCCTCAGCAAAAAGTCCATTGCATGCAGGTTACAATAAGGACTGATTTATTTACATCAAGCATGCACAAAATCATTACAGATGAGAGGGAAGGAGACAGTCCGTAGACAGACAATGCTGCGACAATCACTATGCACTACACTGCACAACTAGGAAAGCAACGTTCTTTATGGACAGCCATCCCCACTGAATAATGCCACCCTAACAGTAATATTCTTCCTGCACTGATGAAGGTGTGCCATATAAAACAAAATACAAGAACGCCGGGATATGTTTCCTCGGAGACGATCAGGTATTGACGATGATTTTCACGAAGCGAACAGACTATGAGTTCACTCAGGTGGAGGCTTGCTTTACGACGCACCACATCACGCCTCAGCGGACTGTGCTCCAAGTCGTCGCCCGCAGCCTTCAGCCGCAGTATGCCGTGCAGGTCCGAGATCTACTCCTCTCCCCATCAGCCGAGACACCCCCAGGTGGGCGGCGGAGCTCCCCTAAACCTCACCGCCATTACCTCGATTCATGTTGAGTATGCTTCCCTAGCTGCAACTCATGTTTGGCAGTTAATAAAAAAGTGGTCTTTAAAAATTATTCTAAAATGAATAAAAAAAACACTCTGCACGGTGCTGAAGAAAATGCTGGTTCAACGGACGCAAAAGAGCAAACAAGCTCGTTTGCGTGAGCTCTTGGGCAACAAAGAACTGGGCAACCAGCCGCCCTAGCAAGACGATACAGCCGCTGCTACTTGGCGAATGACAACTTGACGCATCTCTTCTCCGGGAGCTCTTTGTGCAGCACTTAGCAGCTCCCGTTTGGCTCATGCTCTCTTCTACACCTGCTACTCTTGATCTCACTGAGCTCGCTACGATCGCGGACAAAGTTGTCGAGTCCACTGCCCCAGTCGCGGCTAGGCATTTCCCTAATTGGCCCGATTTTTTCGCCTAATGGGCTTTTCGATCGGCTAAGAGAATGTCCAAATTCGGCCATATTATGAGCCCCTTAAAGTCACCTCTCGCAATAGATTACATGTACGCTGTAGAGGCACTGAAACATTTTATGTTTATGTATCTATGTCATTCGGATCTTCCCAAGTTGTACAATGTACTGTTGAGATACCGAATTCAAATAAATCAATACCACTACCACATCCATTTTCGGCGAAATTCAGCCCGAAATTTGTAAATTCGGCTCAATTACAGGCGATTTCTTGACAGCCATCGATTTCGGCGTCTTTTCCTGCTGACCTTTTTCGTAAATGCCTAAAGTCGCGGTCACGTTTCGCAGATAACGGTTACAGAAATTGTATTTGCATGCTGCTGAGGCACTAAAACATCGATTTTTGCCGAATTCAAAAATTGCGTATTCGGCGAATTTTTCGGCTCGCCGATTTGAGAAATGCCCAGTCGTGGCCGCAGTCATAACCAGGACAGCCACACAAGACAACTCTTCTCCGGGGGCTATTTGTGTAGTGCTTGCCAGCCCCTGTCCGGGCTGTTCCATTCTCTAATGTTACACCTGCTTCGCTCGATGCCACTGGGCTCGCTACGATCGCAGACAAGGACTTTACGTCCACCACCACCACCCCCGTTGTGGCCAACGTTGTTACCAGGGCAACCACAAGAGTCTCTGCCGGTCCAGTGTGGACTAGTCTTGATGAGCTTTCAAGTGTCCCAACTCACCGTGTCACGGCAGCAGTGCAGTCTCTCACCGCGTCAACCCATCCTCCTGCACGCAGCCGGGACGGTCACACGCGAGCACTGCAGCAGGAACGAATCGAGCCTCCTGACTTCGCCGTCACAAGTACTCCCCAGTGTCCAGACAGACACGCTCACCATCCATTCCCGTGACCGAGACCCAGACGGGTGCTGTTGGTACCACCGCCGGTTTGGTCAGCCCGCAGTCCTCTCCTGCCAAGGGCCAGTCTTCCTACCGGTCGGGAAAAGCCATAGCCGGTACTAGTAGTAGTAGCCATAGCCTGTACTAGTAGTAGTACTAGTAGTAATACTAGTAGGTATGACCTCTGTCTCTACCTGCTCTACTATTGGTTTTCCGGTGGGGGGGGGGGGGGGGGGGGTACTCGACATAATACTTGCCAACCATCTCGATTTGGCCGGGACCGTCCCGATATCGAGGACGGCAATAGGCACCCAAAATTTACCGCTACATGTGTATGCCTTTTCGTACCTAGGTATGGCATTGCCCCGATCTCAGGCTTGCACAGGTTGGCAGGTACATTACATGTGATCACACGGCAGACTAGTGTCGAGGGTCTATGTTCATGCATGGGGTCCAGACCCTGCACTCATGCAAATGTAACCTCTCCCGACTTTACACCAGATTATTTTTTGTCTCACTGTGACCTTTCCACAAACGACGTTGTCATGAATTCTTTATCCTCATCATCATACCCCAAAGTCACCATTGCCAAGTCACCGACTTACTTGTTTTCGGGGTATTGCAACCTTCGGGTCAATCTGCAAAGGACAACACAGCATCACCCAGAATGTTACCATCAAGTACTCTTGCTTGAGGTAAAAACGAGACAGAGCAAGAGATAGAGAGAGAGAGAGAGAGAGTGTGTGTGTGTGTGTGTGTGTGTGTATGTATGGGGTACGTGGGCAACCAGAATGCTGGCGTAGCATTCTGGTTGCCCACGTACCCAGCTGATGTGGTGAAGAGTCGACACCAGGTCAATGTTGCCGCAGGCAAGCCGAAGAATTTCTTCAGCGGCTTCATGGAGATATGGCGCATGGAAGGCATGCGTGGTCTGTACCGGGGCATAACGCCTGCATTGGTCCGCGCCTTCCCAGCCAACGGCGCTCTGTTCTACTCCGTTGAGCTAACCCGTAGGATCTTGGAGTGAAGGAACTACATATGTGTGTATGTGGTCAGGTGTGATGTGTGTGCGGGAAAAAAAAGAAGAAAAAAAATGAAAAAGACCAAAAAAGGGATTCACTGGCCAGAAAATGTCACTCCAAATAGCTGTATGGTGTAGACCAGGCTGAATAGTGACGGACAATTCTTCAGCCTTGCAAGCTGTTGAATGGTGTAATCCCAGCACAAGTTGCTATGGCTTCTGCCGTAGCATTGCTATCATCGCCTCCGGCGATGGGCGTCAAAGGTCAAAGGTCAAAGGTCAAAGGTGTATGTATGTATGTGTGTGTGTGTGTGCGCGCGTGTATGTGTGCGTGTGAGAGAGAGAAAGAGAGCGAGAGAGAGAGAGAGAGCGCGAGAGAGAGAGAGAGAGATAGAGATAGAGAGAGAGAGAGAGAGAGAGAGAGAGAGAGAGAGAGAGAGAGAGAGAGAGAGAGAGAGAGAGAGAGAGAGAGAGAGAGAGAGAGAGAGAGAGAGAGAGAGAGAGAGAGAGAGAGAGAGAGAGAGAGAGAGAGAGAGAGAGAGAGAGAGAGAGAGAGAGAGAGAGAGAGAGAGAGAGAGAGAGAGAGAGAGAGAGAGAGAGAGAGAGAGAGAGAGAGAGAGAGAGAGAGAGAGAGAGAGAGAGAGAGAGAGAGCAAGGTGATCCCCTCGGTATGAAATAGATGCATTCATGCATGGTCTGGTGGCTTCAAGAATGTACGGTATTGTCCGGAGTACAAACCGCATTCACCCAGAAAAAGTAGGTGGGGCTTATGATGGAATTAACATTTATAAACAGGTTGGGTGCAAAACAAACTGGGTGTGGCTGATGCTCCAGTTAAGCTCTGGAAAATACGGTAACGTTTCCTGTATGTATGTTTCCGATTTTGCAGTAATTTTAACTACTAGGTGGCCATGCATAGGACTGACCCTCCAGGAAATCGCGATTCCACGGATGCAACAAATTTCGCGATTTTGGCTCAAACCCGCGATTTTCAGCAAAATCCGCTATTTCACGCGTTTTTTGTTGTTTTCTGCACTATATCTCACATTTTTATGCACTTTTCACGCAGTTCTTTCCGTGATCCTGTAGGTTATTTGCACAGTACGACTCCGGAGTAGATATACGATGCAACAAATTTCGTGATTTGGCCCAAATCCGCAATTTTCTGCAAATAATTCCGCGAATTCCTGGCAAGTTCTGCATCATTCCGCACTTTTCGTCGCATTTTTGTTACTTTCTGCCGCAATTTCTTGCGCAAGTTTTCGAGAGTTTTTTCCGCAAATTCCCGCAGGGACAGATAGGACCTTGATCGTGCTAGATCAGTCCTTGGAAAGAGAAGCAGGGCTATGGAGTACAATTTATTGTTGAGGTACTAGTATGGGTTACTGAAGTTTCACATAACTGCAACTCAGCTTTTTATTAGGCTGGAAAATCATCATGATTGTGTTTCTTGTTCACACAAGATGCTAGTACGTGACGCGCAAGAAAATGTTAGTTCATCGCCAGGTGATGATGTAGGCAAACGCCCCTCACTCCCTGAGTATGAGATGCGCTGTTTTCCTGCTTGCCCAACCACTACAACCAGTCATTTTCGTCGTGAATCAAAACCTCCAATCAAGCATCTACGCCCTCAGTTCTTTTTTTGTCAATTGCGGTGATGATAGTGCCACACCAAGCTGCAAGGCTGGATGAAGTGCACGGATTCCTTGAAAAGGCCTTGATCTACCAGCGTAGTTACTGCAAATCTCATCTCCTCAGATCTACAATGTAGCGTCGTTTATACTGTCAAACTGACGTTAGGTCACAGCCAATGCTACTGTGGCGACCGCATTGCAGGCGTTTGCTTGCAGCGAGGCAAGCGTCAGACCCCTAGCATTCCATCGCAACTACCGTCGGTCCGTATGCATTGTCCATGTAACAACACCCACGAACTCAGATACTCACTGGGGAGAGGGGGGAAAGGGGTCGTTCAAGCCAGTAACCTCGCCGTATGCGCGCGTACACGCTGCGACAGCGCCACTGAGGACCATTTTCCGCTCCATTTCCTCGTTCTCGCCTCAGCAGCCGGGAGAAGTAGTCTAACAATACGCAAGAAAGCTATTTCAAAACAGCGTTTCGGCATTCCTCAAGTGTCCTTCAAGCGCTTGCCGGCTTGTTTGCTGCTATCATTACTAACACGACAAAATGTTGTACTACTAGTCGATTCGACATTGTACTGACGTTATAAAGAACTAGAAAACAGAACGAGGTGTTTTGTGTGAAATCCACAGCAAACAAGCGCTATAGCGCTACATTTTATACGATAATTCTGCGAAAAATGAGACCACCCGTCAGATGCAGAGCTGGGAGTATTTGCGCTTCATTCACTCTCTTCACTTCAGAATCGAGTCGATGATTTCGTGTCCTTGAACGGCTTGCTGCGTTCGACACCTGCACGACAAGGGTTCTGTACTGTGTACTGTGTTACTACAGTGCGTAGTGTAGCTGTCGCACGGACTGTTGACTGTCTGCGTAGATCTACGTGTATGGATGGCGCATTTGATAATTATTATCGTCCCAGCGGATTTGAGAGGGACAGGGCAAACTGTTGCAGATCCTACGAATCTGTTTTCGAGAGGCCGAGGGCCCCGGGGGAGGGAGAGGGGTGCAACAAAGTTAGTTTCAACGACCGGCAGATCACGGTGCGTGTACGTAGAGGGGTCTAACAGGGAGTAGTAAATACATGTATTTTACTACTCCCTGGTACGTACACCCCAGAACGCTAGACCCGAGTCAGAGAAAGCGTGACCAATACATGTACTCAATAGTGCAAGTGCTTGCCCAGTCTAGTCTGTGATGTGCTGTGCTCAGAGCTCGCGATCGCACGGTGTTCGACCACACCAACCACGCAAGCGGTGCGTTCTCTGATCTGGGCAACTGCGCGCCAGAGAATGTGCGTTCGTCATGGTGATCGTCCGTACAGTGTCGTCTCTGCAGGTGAATGGCGAGATCGATCGACGAGGCCGAGGACTCGCGGAATGCATCAAAAAATACTTTTTCTAGTCGGCCATGGTCGACTACGTGTCGATGTTGGCTTTGCATACAACTAACTTACAAGCAAGGGCGCCAAGTGCGGAACTCTCGGACAAGCGAAAACAATGAACTCGCAAGCGATAGCCCAGGTGGAATGCTCATTCAAACGTCAAGTCGAGACTAGAGGTAACCAGGTAACAGTGGGCATGGACAGTACGCGTCACATACAGTCAGTGTAGTGTCCATCTACGATCATTTTCGTTAGCAGAGTCTGCTAGCTCTGGAGAATCATGTAATTGTTACGTACACGCTTGACGAGGTTATCCGATACATTCTCACACTGCGACTACAGTCGTGCTTACATGCACTGATGCAGCACCCCAGATGCACAGCGCTCTCCTCCAGAAACAAAATCCGATTGCAGTTTTGCAGTACACTCGGACGTCTCTTATCCGGGCACCTTGGGACCGGGCACTGCCCGTATCTCAGATTTGCCCGTATCTCAGAATAACTCATCTACCATGTATCATATCACTTTTTGAAGAAGTTTATTTGGAACGTATTGCACATGTTCAGGATACAAAAGGAACCCACTGGTAAAAATGTGTGGATTACATAGGTTGGCAGTGAAAAATAAGCACTTCCGAATACGGAAAAAGTTCAAAACCCCCAAATTCGAAGCATTTTTGCCATAGGAACTCAAGCTAAAGGTGCCCGGTAGAGAGACGTGCCCGTATCTGAGGCGTCCGGATAAGAGGCGTTTGAGTGTATACTACTACACGACATTTACTACAGTCATGTAGATCTACGTTTTGTACAAAACTGCGAATTATTTATGGTTGCTGTCGTGAGGGAAGGATATACAAAGTAATTATTAATTTTTAGGACGTGGCACGGTGAACGGTATCGGAGCATGCAGCAGTTGTGCGCGCATTTCCAGTTTTGGATTTTCTTGAAGTGAAATATCTGATCCACACGCAGATCTACTTATCCAGAAAAAGAGAATTCTTGGTCATGTGACGTCAGTTATTTCTCAGCAGGATCTCTTGGCCGGGTACGAGGGAAGATTGGATGAAGAGAATGGGATTTTTCGGTCTTTGACCATTTGCAGTGGGTGTGATCAATACGGGCCTCCTACCTCTTTTTAAAATAATAAGATTAGGAGCAGCATCTGCGCCTTGATCCCTGGCCCGGGTTCCTGGGGTTGCGGAAACCTAAGTAAAACTGTTAGGCTGACGGGGGGGGGGGGGGGAACAGTGAACTGAAAATTTCCCCCTGTGAGCTACATTTCGTAAAATTCGAGAACGCCTTGTTTTCACTGGACAAGAGGCGGGGGGGGGGGGGGATGATAGGCAAGTGAGGAGGGTTAGAGACCACAGAGAGTGGAGAGTGTGGAGAGAGAGAGTGTGGAGAGAGAGAGAGAGAGAGAGAGAGAGAGAGAGAGAGAGAGAGAGAGAGAGAGAGAGAGAGAGAGAGAGAGAGAGAGAGAGAGAGAGAGAGAGAGAGAGAGAGAGAGAGAGAGAGCGAGCGAGAGAGAGAGAGAGAGAGAGAGAGAGAGAGAGAGAGAGAGAGAGAGAGAGAGAGAGAGAGAGAGAGAGAGAGAGAGAGAGAGAGAGAGAGAGAGAGAGAGAGAGAGAGAGAGAGAGAGAGAGAGAGAGAGAGAGAGAGAGAGAGAGAGAGAGAGAGAGAGAGAGAGAGAGAGAGAGAGAGAGAGAGAGAGAGAGAGAGAGAGAGAGAGAGAGAGAGAGAGAGAGAGAGAGAGAGAGAGAGAGAGAGAGAGAGAGAGAGAGAGAGAGAGAGAGAGAGAGAGGGAGAGAGTGGAGGGTCCAAGGAGACATGGTATGGCAGCAGAGCGAGGATAAACATGGTGAAACAGTGTGTGGAGCCAGAGTGCTGGCACTGTGTGCAACGACAGCATCAGTATAGGTCTTCTGAAGGCGAAGACCTACTATTATAATATGATTGAAATGTTCAAACAGTTGTCAGTATCAAGTCTTGCCCCTGCTCAGATCTACTACGTTGTCTGTGCCGATTTCTCTACCTGGGCCTTTGGCTACTTTGTCATCGTCTGGAGAATCAAGCCCTTGCTTGAAGACAGATAGACAGACAGTAACAAAGATATGAAGAACATTTCTACAGCTCTCACCTGTTTTTGGTCCAGCATGTGTCGTTTCTCTTCTTGGACACGATCAACTGAGCTGGGGTCCTTGAAGGTGACGAAACCGAATCCCCTGTTGGCGAAGAGAGAAAATACCAAACCTTTGATCAAGGAAAAGTTGAGGCTAGCATACTATTCAAAGACTCAACATCAATGGTGCTGCATAGTAGAGCATCAATAACCGTGTAACGCGAAGGTAACGCCGTGTCATCCTTTTGTAGTATCCCTGGCCCTACTGTATTCATGCTAGCACGTGACACTGTAAATCACCTCTTGTCCCACCGGTGGTTCAATTTTATAATTGCTAGATTCGAACCCACCTAGTATCTGTATTGCAGTGATGGCAGCGGCGCTACAGAACTGGTGGCAGCGGTGGGATTGCCTTAGATCACGCATATTACACTGGTGGCAGTGGTGGGATTGCCTTAGATCACGCATATTACACTGGTGGCAGCGGTGGGATTCGAACCCACGCCTCCGGAGAGACTGGAGCCTCAATCCATATATATGCTGTCTATGCTATATAAGCCCTATCTGCTCTACCAGAGATAGAATTAGCTCATAGCAGAGAAGAGAGTCCCTCCTGGCAGATTGAGCCGGAGCAGTTATATTCCGTTCAGAGTCCCTCCAGGCAGATTGAGCCGGAGCAGTTATACATAACTTCAGGCAGATTGAGCCGAATAACATAATATTAGTCAGTCTTCTTGTGTGTGCCTCCTGATACCACTCGGCGACCTAACTTTAACAAGTTCCTCCAGAGGTTGCTGAACAGCGGATTTAGCTGTGGCAAGGACACACATAATGATGTGTTTACTTACAAGGCATAGGGTTGGAACATGGCTAAGAACTAAATACTATTGTACTCAGCTAAAGGAGAGCTGGCAAAGCACGAAATGGAACGCCTAATACGACGAAGCTCCCCTTCCTGTCATCTACCTCCCAAAGTAAGTCTGGGAAGTTTTCAGCTATGCTGCGAGGTCTGAACTGAGGCCAACAGGGTAACAGCACTGCGGCGGAAACAGCGGATGGTCTCGTAGCACCAAGCACGACCGCTGCCATGGCAGCCGTCCCATCAACGATCCAGTACGCCACGTAGTGACCAAGTAGTGGATGTGCACGTTGCATGCCTGTCGTTAGACTAGGAGAAGCCCCAGAGCCATGGCCACGGACAGATGAACACAGCCAGTGCTGGTCACAGCAGTAACTCTTTGGGGCGGGCATCAAACCTCCACACAACTTATACCGAGTTGCACCCACTGCACTCACGGCTCTGAACGACCAAGTAGTGGATGTGCACTTTGCGCGCCTGTCGTTAGACTAGGAGAAGCCCCAGACCCAAACCCACGGACAGATGAACACAACCAGTGCTGGTCACAGCAGTAACTGTTTGGGGCGAGCATCAAACCTCCACACAACTTATCTCTACAGGATGACGTCACCCTTCTACATACTCAATTACTCATCCCTCTCCTTAGATGAGAACTTGTACCACCTCCAGCAGGATCTGGCCAGCTGCCAGCAGTTGGCTCGGAATATCCATGGGATGGTTTGTCCAGAAAACCTTCACCTTTTCGAATTATGACATTCCCGACTTCTCTGTTTTAACGGAAGACGTTCCAATTGCTTTTGGACGTTTTGCTAAGCATCTCGGCGTACAGCTCAGTGATGGTGTGAAGTAAAAAAAAGACCACTTCCACACACCATCTTCGGGAAGTAAGTATCAGTTTCAGTGACGTGTCAATCTGCTATGCTTCATGGGCCGACCCTTACCATCGTCCCATATTGCTCTCTTGTACATGTATTACGTCTTACACAACTGAACAACAAGGTCCTTGCTGTTCTGTTGTGTATTACGCTCTGCCTTTGTGGTGTTGAGCACTGTCAGCACTCTGGCCCTGGGTACATCCTTCAGTGTATTACGTCTCTGAATATGTGCGTCCGGCAATTGAATATGCCATTCCTGCCTCGCGTCATATAGGATCACATCCGCTCAGTTAGAATCCCTTGATGTACAGTGCTGGCAACTGAAATCCGACCCCTGAGCGGTGCGCTCACATCGCAAAGACCCAACACGGGATGGTAAAACTACGAAACAGAGACCGCTAGAATGTGAACCCACCGCTCAAGTGGTCGGATTTCAGTTGCCAGCACTGTACTTCAGGCTAAGGTTTGCCGGCGACTCCTGAAGTCTGCGAAAATCTACTTTGATATCTATGAATCAAAAATCAAATTTGAATAGATTTTGTCACTTAGAATCCCTGCAATTTCGCCGTGTCTTATTGAGATTCTCTTGTTGATTTATTTAAGTATATCAACTTCCACCCAGAGTATCTCTCTCGCTTTGTGATACCCATCACGTAGTGCCAGTAGCCCCAAAAAGCTCATTTTTAACTCACATGGTCGCATTTTTTCATCCCTATTCCTACAGAAAATTGGTTCTCTTTGGAATTGTCTTCCACCGTCACTTCCTACCCGATTGGCAAGTTTAGATTCCCTAACTGAATTCAATTCACATTGCAAAGTGTAAGTTCGACAGCACTGGTACACCTTTGATGTGCAATCATTGATTTACACGCTTATTCTTTCCTTGTGTTCCTTTTATTTGAATCCAACATTTCACACTCACTTTGCGTACTTTCTCTCTTCTCCTTTACTATGTTACTAGTATTTAAACTCCACTTCTCAACTCCAAAAACGGTCTCTTCACTGCGATTCAAACCAAAATCAAAATTACAATTACACCGAATTTTCGGGCCTGGCTACCTAGGCCTGGCTACCTAGGCCTGGCCCATCATGACTCTGATGATGGGCCAGGCCCGAAAATTTGGTGTAATTGTAATTTTGATTTTGGTTTGAATCGCATTGAAGAGACCGTTTTTTGGAGTTGAGAAGTGAAGTTTTAATGTGTAAGTGAATGCGTTGGAGTTTGCGGACAATTAGAAAATGTTACTAGTACATACACAAACAGGAGATCCCCCAGATCGGCGTTATCCTTCGGGTACTCCTGAAATACAGATTATTACTATAACCGATAATGGAGGCTGGCGTGCTCATTCAGTGCATATTCCCTCAGCTTGTCGGCCAGCAGTATGACTGTGGAACAGTGACGCTTTGTAAGGTCACTATTCACGTGTGCTAGGGCAACTGTGTCTGTGCTGCAGGACCAAGCGACCACTACTAGTCCGACATACAGAAAATAGCGGACGTGGACGGCAGAGAATCATAATCTCGGCAACGCTGTACTGTCCAGACTGGCAGTCCTCCTCTCCAGTCCAGACAACTAACTGTCAGACATGCTCTTTACAGCCTCGCGCTGAGCAGAGGCAGGCTTTTCACTCAGCCAGCACTGCTCTAGCGCTGCAAGAAACAGCGAATGCGACCACGAGCCGTCAAGCGCGCCAGCTAGATCAAGAAGCCAAGCGCGCTTAGCGGCTGCGAAACGACAATGGCGACCATGAACCGCCAATGCGCCAGCGACAGACATCAGGTAGAACTGCTTGGCAAGCGACATTGAAGGCCATGCCACTAGCTATTCGCATTCAGAGTCAGATGCGTTCGTGGATTTAGAGGGTCGAGCAGAAGCGTGTACGGTGTTCGGTGTAGTCGAACATGTACTCACTTCTTGCAGTTGCAGAGCCTTTCGAAAAGATGAGAGTCAATATTTCCCTAATCTGCCCATCTTCCTGCGCCATGCCAGGTAACGAAGTCACTGAAGCGAACTCAGCTGAGAAAGGATGGCGGCATGGTTGGGGCCGACACGGGGCATTGTGCATTGCAGTTTTGGCTGCATTCTATGTACATGGACGACCTGCATCATGCTTGCACAATTATTGCGTGCTCTAAAACTCTGAAATGGCGTTTGAAAACGTCGCTTTCCACGCTGCGTTTTCTACACCAGCAGTCGGCTGATGTAAGACATAGTCATGATAGTACAATCCTGTACAGCTAGTGCAGACTGTACAGCGATCTGTCGAAATGTCATTATTTATGTCAAGGGTCATAGACACACAGTGGACAGCCACAACCACACAGGCCATGATGAACACAGGGCATTGTCAACACGACCTTTTTTACTGTACAGCTGGCTAGCAGGGAGGCTCGGGTATTGCCGAGAACGCTAGAATCCTGGCACCGAGAACTGCTGCGTTCTGCAACAGGACACAGTGATTCATTTTTGCTTGGCTAGTTTTGGGGGAGGAGCACGGGTGCTAAAGTTGTAATGGCACCTGGTGAACGTTTCGTCCGTCCATGCATTGAAGTCACTTAGTGGGGCACTGACCTGGATCTTCCAGTGACAGTGTCGGTCATCACAACGCTCTCCTTCACTTCGCCGTACTTGCTAAAATACGTGTTCAAGGCACCTAGGAGAACAGGGGCATAATATACACATGCACGTGAGTTTAGTGCAGACACGCTCTGAGCGTTTCATGGATAAATTAAAAAAAAGCAGTGAGTATGTTCTTACATGGAATGCAACAAATTGCCAGGACTAAACAGACCCAAATGCCCAGCAATTGGCCATTTAAAAGACAGTGTGCTGAGTTAGGTGCGTGTGACAATGGCCACATCGGAGAGAGAGAGAGAGAGAGAGAGAGAGAGAGAGAGAGAGAGAGAGAGAGAGAGAGAGAGAGAGAGAGAGAGAGAGAGAGAGAGAGAGAGAGAGAGAGAGAGAGAGAGAGAGAGAGAGAGAGAGAGAGAGAGAGAGAGAGAGAGAGAGAGAGAGAGAGAGAGAGAGAGAGAGAGAGAGAGAGAGAGAGAGAGAGAGAGAGAGAGACAGACACACAGACACACACGCACACGGGGGGACAGACAGATTCAGATAGAGGTACGCAGAGAGCCAACGAAAGATACAATAATTACAATAGAGGGACGAACACAGACTGTACTGCACTTGACCTCGCGCTAGTTTTTACATGAAAATATTCTTCATAGCAGACTCAGCGGAGGACGTTCAGGTTGGTTGTAACTCTGAGTTTCATGCCGCTAGGCAATCATCAGACAACTGATACTTTGGGTCTACCCAACAGTATGCTTATAAACACATAGGGCCACAAGTATAAACAAATTTAGCGCTAAATCTGGTGTGAGGTATGGGGAGAAAGCTGGCAGCTCGGGGATCAACGGATTTGGAAATATTCTCCTGTGGTCGCATGAGACCAAGGCTCCGAAAGAAACATCTAGGCAACACGGCTGCTCGCACTAGTACACAGTGGTGATACCCCCTAGCCAAGTCGCATCTGTCTACGGTGATAAGCTATTCGCCTACGAATTCCACACAAAAGTTAATACTAGTACTGTAGTAGTTGGCATCGCACGGCACCCCATGGTGTGGTGGCGTCCATGAAACCGCCGGACACGAGCGAGCGTGGAGCATTAGACGCCAATGCCAGGGCGTAGAGCCATATTAGAGGCCACCGTACAGACTCAATGAATACATAGAGAATACATTCTTACCTTGGTCAGTCTGCCAGCTCAGACCTCCTATGAACATTTTTCTGCACGCACAGAATAGAAGAGATATACGCACAGACGTAAGTTAGTTAGTTGGTGAAACACATTGCCATTATCTACTACATCGGCCTGGTCATCAAACAACGATTCCAACACCAGTAAAGCAGGAAGTTGGAAGACACATTGGTCTTACCCTGGTTCATTTGGTGGATCTCGGGTCTCCGATTCGTTGCTGTCGCTTGGATTTGCTTTCGAATCAGCCTGGTCTACTGCTTCTTCGCTTTGCGCCGCGTCAGTCGATGCGTCTTGGTCGACAGGTTGGCCGCTGGGCTCAACGCTAGCTGGAGCTTCATTCGCAGCGCTGTTAGACGTGGACATGGTGGCAGGCGAAGATTCAGGAGCCACTGGAGTAGTGTCGGCAGCAGGGGCAGCGGACGTGGATGGCGAATATTCTGGTGTAGTTGTGCCTAGATCCATTTTGGTGTCCTTAAATTTTTCCATGAGTTGCAGATCAATGAAGAAGCGATGAGTGGCTACACTCTCCTCGCCTACGCCTAGTAACAAATAGCGGAGTAATCCCGAAGTACGCCTGCGAGATCGGACCAGGCGTGAGGGTACGACTTGACGGTGGTAACAGTATTCTACTCTTTACACTGTGTAGTGGTTGGAGGTGAGAATCCCCAGTCAACGCAGTAAATCGCGTGGGACCACTGGTCTGTTCTTCGCACCGTCTCGCTCTCAGTGCAGTACTCAGCGATTGTCGCCTTGGTATCTCCACCTAGTTTTCCTCCGCTAAGGCTAGCATCGACGTTAGAGCTGATCTGAAGATGTCCAGCGAGGACCACTACCACCCGTGAGTCTCTAATCGCTATGGAAGAACACTTTCTCACGAATCTAGTGCGATCGCTCACACACCAAGCTAGGTAGAAGGCCGCGACGCGAATGAACGGAACTAGTAGGTGGGGGAGGTACGGGAGCGAAACTGACAACACTCTAGCTGGGTCCGTCTAGGCAGCAGCTAAGAAAACGCCCTGGCCCTACTGGCACGAGGAAGGAAGAGAGAGAGAAGGAGATGTAGCTAGGCGGCTAAACAACAACGGACACACTCGCTATACTAGAACTGACAGCAGCCCTACAATGGCTGGAGAGCTGAGCAACAACGCAAGGAACTACGGGGCCGGGAAGCGACTCTTCTGTGATATGATCGCCAGATACTGACGACTTATATTATACAGCCAAGCCTACGGCTGCGCGTCCTTGTGCTTGCAGTAGTGCTGGCCCAGGCGCTACCGCGACCAGCTAATCCGATGCTAGCTGGAGTCTTACCTAACTCACACTGAGTCCAGTTACAGGCATGTACTTGTACTGCGCACTGCATGTTTGGCATAAACTCTTATTAAACGTGCTCTGGCAGAAAGAACACAATCGATCATAATACAATGGTACATGCAAGTCCAGGGCCAACCCACTTTTGCCGGTCACGTGCCAGTGCAACTACAGGCGCGACGCGTCGACAGTGTACGAACACGTAGTACTACATGATTGTAGTACTATTACTACAGTGCTGGCAACTGAAATCCGACTCCCTGAGCGGTGTGCTCAGATCGCAAAGACCCAACATGCGCGGCGCGGGGTGGTAAAACTACGAAACAGAGACCGCTAGAATGTGCACCCACCGCTCAGGGGGTCGGATTTCAGTTGCCTGCACTGTACTAGTACATCATGGCAGTACAACCGAATCCGGACATGATTATTGTGCGCAAGTCAATGGCTTTTATTCACTACCCGATCTTCATAATAAGCACTAATAATTATAATTATCACTACATACTAATAATACGAAGTAGTGAGAAAGGGTTTGCTCCCCACACCGGAGCTCGCGCTATTCCGCCGACTTTACTTTACTCTACTTGTTTGATGGACTTCTCGTGTGCTCTGGATGGCAGTCGTGAGTCAGTCAAGTGTCAAGTAAAGTCGGCGGAATAGCGCGAGCTCCGGTGTGGGGAGCAAACCCTTTCTTACATACTAATACGTTTTTTTAAACCAAGAACATGTGTTAATATGTTTCTAGAAAAACAGGACAAGTGAATAATTAGTCAGTCCATTGTTCATGATGGGCTTCCACGGTTACGTCGGCAAGCGAGTCACTGCCAAAGCAACGTGGGCTCCTCAGGAGGGTTAATTTTTACTATCACTACTATATTAGTACTATACTACTCGGTTTTTCATTTGACCCGACGAGACCACACGACGCTTGCAGACCACAGCACGAACAGTTCACCAGCCACACTCCACGAAAGCAAGTAGTATTATTCCTGACAAGTCTTGTTTCTTTCCATAAAGATGACGCAGGGACCTCATCAGAGGAGAAGAAGTTGCTGAAAGTCTCAGCTGTGATTCCCCTGTGAAGGACGTTGGCGTTGGGTTTTTCATGATTCTTGTTCGCATAGCTTCCCCTTTTTTCTTTTTTTTTCTTTTTTTTTTTGATCTTCGCATCTTTTGAGCCACACAAGTTAGCTCTGTGGAATGTTGCTTTGCGTTCTTGAATCGTGGTTTGACCGTATAGTCTTGCCTGTTTCGTCATCGACATGCATGAACATCCGCCAACGTCCTTCACAGCTGAGACTTTCAGCTCGTGCTTATCTTGGTTGCGCTCACCTTCCCTTCCTTATGTTATTTCTATGACTTAGAACCTTCCAAGTTGGAAGACTGTTGGAGTGCGCATCCAAGATGTGCTAGAGCTGTTAGCCAGTTAGTTGTAGAACGTCAGTAGCGTCGGTCAGTGTTGTGCAATGTTATCACATGAGCTGATTGTTTAGTAACTGGTGGTGTTAGTGGACAGTATAGCGTAACTTGTAGTTCCTTGGTCTTTCTCTTTTGTATAAATTAAACCTTGGCTCTCCATCTGAGTTGTTGTTGTTGAAATTTTATTTTGTATCGCAGACCAAACGGGCAATGGTGCCCAATATTATGATGGCGATAAAGTAACGGCCGAGAGCCAAGGATACAACAAGCAAGCCTCCACGAAAGAGAGAAAACACAGAAATCATCATGCACAGACTGCAAATACTCAAAAAGAAAAAGAGAAAGGGAAAAAAAGAAAAATGAAGAAGAAGAAAGCACAGTTGAGTCACGACTCCAAGTCCAAGCCTAGATGCTGGCTAACCATAAAAATAAACCTTTAAAAGTCTCTTGAATGAGTCTATTCCTGCACACCTGATGAGCCGTCTTTATCTACATGTACATGTACAGTCTGTATCGGCGTACCCTTTTGATTTCCGTGATTTTATCACTATAAGTATAACCGATGCATCACTATATGCGATACGATCGATTTTTTTCGATCGACACATGGAAATACTTCAAGCATGGCGTTTTGACAAATGAGCATGCTGCATAGTTGACAGTGCCCGCATTTCCATACAACAATTCTGTTATGTACATGTACATGTGTCACTATCAAAATAAGCAACGTGAAGAAAGTAAAAAAATAGGGCCTTCGATATTATTGCAACATGTATTTTAAAGTTATCACTATAGACGATAATAATGTAGTGTGTTATGCATGTTTTGATTCTTTGTTGCCATCATAATATCCGATATATCATTACATCCGATAATATTGGTTATAGTGATATTTGTACTGGATAAAATACGTTTTGCTTTTGATATTTCGTACCAATATCACTGTAGCCGATATAATATTATTCTTATATCCGGTCACTCTATAGCCGATACAGACTGTACATGTATATTATGGCGAAACGATCGTCATGTGAAACTGCTGCTTGTTACTGCTGCTTCTTGTCCATCTAAATTGTCATAGTCGAAGTACAGTGCTGTTTTACTGAGGCGTTCGATTTTCATGATTCTTGTTTGCACAGCTTCCCTATTTATTGATCTTTGCATCTTTTGAGCCACACAAGTTGTGTGGAATGTTGCTTTACGTTCGTGAATCGTGGTTTGACCGTATAGGGCTTGAAAGTGCTACGTCACAGCATAGCAACAGTTTCAAAAATTCAAAACTGGATCCACTTGGATCCAGTTTTTGTATGGATCCAAGCACATTTCAAGCCGTCTTACTCACAGCAAGGTGATGTAGCTAGTGAAACTGACTGATTTGGCTACTGGGGGCGGGGTTACAACTGGTGGCGAAGTAAAAGTCACCCCTGCATACGACATGAGTGGGTTGCTATGCACCCACATACTGAGGCAATAGCAAAGTCACACCTTAGTGGATCCAAAATACAATGTCATGTAGAAATCTGAAGTCAACTTACTACTCCCTGGCCGTTTTTGACGTCATCACTTCCAAGCCCTATTGTCCCAATGGTCTTGCCAGTATCGTCATCGACATGCATGAACATCCGCCAACGTCCTTCACAGCTGAGGCTTTCAGCTCGTGCTTATCTTGGTTGCGCTCACCTTCCCCTCCTTATGTTATAAGTTTTTCCAGGCAGTGCTCGAGTGAACTCGAAGAAACATTCCGCGCGAAAGCAGGAAAAATGACAACTCACTCACGTTGATACAGTCTTGTACATGTACGTCTGGTCTAACTTACAACAAACGAGTTATTCCTCGTATCGATAATGGAGGCAGAGAGGACATGTCGAAACGAAAGCGTTGTAAATGTTGACGAGCGGCATGGGCTCCAATTCGTTTTGTGACCAAAATAGTTTCTTTGAGCTGCGATGCAATTTACTCACCGTGTGACGAAAACGACATCGACACGGACTCATTCCCAAGGCCATGATGACTTGGCAAAGCTATCCGTGTGACTTCGACGACATTTTGAGAAAAGCAGACGCTTGTGAACGCTGATAGAAGACTGCGTTGACTGCTAAAATCAAATAAATTGGCGATCTTGAAATACTAGAATAAATCTCAAAAAGCTACAGCGCGATGACTTCCATATTCACTCACACAAATCTGCCTCCAAAGCCGGCCACGACCGTCCAACCGCTCGCGGGTCCATTTTATGGAACACCCTGCCATCCGACGTGCGTTGTATTACCCAGCACCACCAGTTCAAACAAGCCTGCCTCCCGTTCTTATTCTGTCTTGCTAGCAGTAGCACCCACTACTGAACACTACAGCAGTACAGGACTTTTTGAACGTTTGCGGTACTCCACAGTACCAGTCATGTGCTGTTTACCGCCTCCCCGTTGTTGTATTCTAACGTTAACGTTATTCATTGACTGAGCGTTCTTTGCTTTGTACTACACCCTGCTATCATGTTAGGCTATTTCCTACAATATTTTACTGTTTCCATTCGCTTCCATGTAATTGGGCGACACCGCCCGTTTGGTTCTGCGAATTCAAATAAAAATGTACCTACCTACCTACACCATTGCAGTGCTGTGGGTGTGTTCACATGGCGTGAGCCAGTCGAGTGTCAGTCAGTTCGGCAGGAAGCGCGAGCTCCAACAACAAGTCGTTTGGTGCAGCCATCTTCTTTGTCTTGTACCAGCTTCAAGTGATCACCAAAACAATGAAGAAAAAATAGTTTGACTTGAGGATAGGTTGGGATTTGAACTCACAACTTCATGGTCAGCAGATAGCATCCATAACCACAAGGCCAAAAAGGAAGGGATAAATCGTGGGTTTTGATAAAAAAATCGATATTGGCTTCCTGGGCAAATTGTAAACCATGAGAAAAGGCTGGAAACCTGGCCGAAATTCTAACTCCTTAACGGCTGGTCCAATTGTTCCGAAACCTTCACAGAACAATTTGCCGTGTCCTAACAAGCCATTCTATGTACTTTGTTGTCCAAATTTCCCTTATCTTCATATTTTTTAAGACCCAAACCTGATTGTAAATCTTTTTGAAACAGACTATAACGTCACATCTGAAGATTGCTGACTGCACAAGACAAATACTTCACGAACCTCAATAATTGAAATTCAGCGAACGCTAGGTGAAAGGAAGGCTGCTGGGTGTGACATAGAACTGCGGGCTGCTGGGGCGACGTATCCATCCAGATCTTGACTGCAGGGTTGGCGTCTAACGCTATACTCCGAGCAGCAGATCACATCCTTCCTCAGATCAATGGCCGGTTTCCTGGTCCAGGAGAAGTCATAATTCTTTGTTGCCATCTTCAATAGGTCCGTCAAATATTTGTATAAATTAAACCTTGGCTCTCCTTGGCTCTCCATCTGAGTACATTCAAATAGCCAATACTTGAATCCATACATCCTGTACACACACC